CGTTTCTTCATATAGGGTGTGGTCCCCTCGTGCCCCCCTGCCCCGCTCTACCTCCTACCCTGCCACCTGATTGTCAATGTTCTGTGTTTATTGTGGGGAATTTAGGAAGCGGCAGCTCAGCCTGCAACTCGAAAGAGGAGGCCAAAAGCCACAGAAGACGCAGAGGAAACCGGTCAACGGCAGAAAAGGAAGTTTCGGGAAAGCCTGTGATGACTGCCCTTGGCCCGGATGGAGGCACAGACAGAGGCTGGGCCCGGGACAGCCCGGGGAAGTTTCCAAAGACGAGCGAAGAAATGAACTGAACACAACCAGCGGAGGAGAGCGGGCGGGCAGGTCCCGGCGGGCAGAACAAAACGTCAGCACGCTGCCAAACACCAGAGGGAAGAAGACGCGAGGACCAGGCCACCCAGAAAGAGAAGGAGGAAGGAAGTTCGAAGGAGCAACACAAAACTGTGCAGAGCTGAAGGATGAGAAGGGTCCACCAGGACTGAAGGAAGAGCCACAGCTTCCCGAAGGGGAAACTGGCCACGTGCAAAGAACCGGAGAGACAGGCTCGCCCTGGCCGGTGTGGTCCAGGGGATAGAGCGTTGGCCTGCAGACTGAAGGGTCCCGGGTTCGATTCCGGTCAAGGGCATGTACCTTGGTTGCGGGCACATCCCCAGTGGGGAGATGTGCAGGAGGCAGCTGATCGATGTTTCTCTCTCATGGATGTTTCTAACTCTCTATCCCTCTCCCTTCCTCTCTGTAAAAAATCAATAAAATATATTTTAAAACAAACAAACAAACAAACAAAAACCTCCTGGAAGATGAGACAGAAAACTCGAGGAAGAACCCAAGGACTCAGAGTCCAGGAGAGCGTCCTGGCCTAGGAGCTGGGGGTGTTGAAGAAAGCAGGGGTGCCTCGGGGACAGGGGGGCGGAGTGAGAAGAAAAGCAACGCTGCTGTATTACCTGATACATTTGCATAAGGAAATAGAAGCATAGCATTCTGTGGGGCTTAGCCAAGAATGCTGCTTACATAATGGCAACAAAGTAAATGCCACACACTGAGCTGACCCAATATTGTGACTGAGCCGCATCAGGAAGATGAGGTGACTCCAAGGTAGGTGGGTTCATGAGCTGAAATGAGTTATAACCTCATTCACCGTAATACCTCATCGTCATAGGAAGTTCATGTGAAAAATGTTTTAAAAAAATGATCTCGCTCTACCCAGTTTGGCTCAGTGGCTAGAGCGTCGGCAGGTGGGTTCATGAGCTGAAATGAGTTACAACCTCATTCACCATAATACCTCATTGTCATAGGAAGTTCATGTGAAAAATGTTTAATAAATTATCTCTTCAAGTATGAGCCAATGGCTACACAGTATTCCACCAAATGGATATGCTACTTAACCAACCCCAACTTTGGAGCATGTAAGTGATTTGGGGCTGGCCCAGCACGGCTCAATGGTTGAGTATCAACCCATGAACCAGGAGGTCAGGGTTTGATTCCCGGTCAGGGCACATGCCCAGGTTGTGGGCTCAATGCCCAGTGTGGGGCAAGCAGGAGGAGTTGATCCATGATTCTCTCTCATCACTGATGCTTCTATCTCTCCCTCTCCCTTCCTCTCTGAAAGCAATAAAAATATATATATTTTAAAAAGTGTTGTGGGGTTTTGGTCTTTTATAAACCACATGGCAATGAACATCCTTATAGATCCAGCTTCCTCTTCTGGTCTCCGTAGTGCAGTGGTTCTCAACCTGTGGGTCGCGACCCCTTTGGCGGTCGAACGACCCTTTCACAAGGTCGCCTAAGACCATCCTGCATATCAGATATTTACATGACGATTCATCACAGTAGCAATATGACAGTTATGAAGTAGCCACGAAAATAATTTTATGGTTGGGTCCCAACA